TTGTATTCTTTTCTACAAAAAATGATATTTAATAACCAAAGAATAGCGAGTTTCTGTTAAAAAATATTTTTTAGCAACAAAGCCAATCAAAAGTTTAACGTTTCATATTTGAATTAGATGCATTTCACATGACATTTAAATGCATGGCATTTAATGGATGCAAAATGAAGTTTTGATAAAATAAATGTAGGAAAATTGATTTTAAAAGATAATCTTTTGAGGAATAGATTTTTATTTAAAAACCAGATGTAAAATCTCTTGTATGCTTCAATCTGAATTTTACAATTCTTCAAGTCCTAGCAAACAATGTATAATGTCGACCTATTTTAATCCAAAAATGCAGTTTTTTTTTCGAAAAAAAAATAACCGTTGATTTGGCAGCAAAAGTTTGGATGACTGCAAGTTTTGTTAAATATAAGCGATTTTTCATTTCGAAATTTCGAGTTTGGGAGCTGCTTTACTAATGTTAATTCACGTGTGATTCAGGATTGGATATATTTTAACTTATGTTTTTTTCCTTTTCATCTGCTTTCATTTCCCTTCCTCAGGCAATCTACATTCTATATTGCATTGCATTGCACTCACCCAAACTAAAAGATTAAGAAAAGAATTAAAATATATTCTGATTCACAACAATACCCTTCAAAGCTTTGTCTGATCAAGTATTGCATTATACATCAATGTTTCCCATTTTGAAAACTGGATATTTTTATTTGTGGTTTCTCTACAAAAGTGACTCGCGCATTTCTTGCTTCAGAAACGATGGAAAAATAAAGGTTTCAAAGGTATATCGGACATGCCACTCTATAAATGGATGGTCACTTGAAATTATGCATGTATTCCATTTAAATATAATTACATCGTATAGAAAAAAATACTTTAAAATCTCACTTTTGCCCTTATCTAAAAAATGTTCACTAAAAAAGCTTTAATAAATACTGCCTTCAGTGTAAATATATATTTGATATCATAATTTATTATACAATATGTATCAATCCTATACAAATATAGATATTTTTTTAGAAACGTTTCCATCAATATTTTTCATCCCCTGAAGCTTACACCATAGTATTAAGAGGGATTGCCTGATTTTGTGCCCTCCCCCCTTGGCAACATTGNTTTCCTCCACTTGTAGTTGATTAAGCTAAATACACACCGCACACTCTAGCGTACATTTTCCTCCACTTGTAGTTGATTAAGCTAAATACACACGTCACACTCTAGCGTACATTACCTCCACTTGTAGTTGATTAAGCTAAATACACACGTAACACTCTAACGTACATTTCCTCCACTTGTAGTTGATTAAGCAAAATATACACGTCACACTCTAGCGTACATTTTCCTCCACTTGTAGTTGATTAAGTAAAATACACACGTCACACTCTAGCGTACATTTTCCTCCACTTGTCCTGGCGGGATGAATAAAGCAGGAAACACACAAAATGTGATAATTTTTACATTTTCAAAATAAAACAGGTTGTCAATGAAAGCATTAGGAAAGGATTGAAAAATGTTGAATAATTTGATCCAAGTCTACTAAATATCCTAAACTTCAAATATATGTATAATAAATATTCAAGAAATGAAAGATTTAATTGAATTTATTTCATTTTATGCACAATTTATTGATTTCAGGCAACTTTGATAAATTATAACTAATTTTATTGCTGAAATATACAAAATACTGTATTCAAAGTTGATGCAGAAAATATTAAGATTTTAAAGGGACTGTAAGTGTAAAACAAAAATGCTTTCACCTGATTCACTTCCTTATCCTAAAAGCTTTGTCTTCTCAAATCAGAATTAGATTTCAATGTTTTTAATTTTGAAAACTGAAAAACACCTTGAGGACAGAATCAAGATATAAGAAGAAATGTTAGCAATGAATTTTATGAGAAAACTTAATTTGTTTTTTAGCCAGCTGTTGGAAATTTCTGTGAAAGCTATGATTTTCATGAATATATTAACTTTGTGTAGTATACAGAGTTGTTTATATATTTGTTTATTAAGTACTGCAGTTGCAATCTGTCATAGATAACAATAAACATGCTGGCATTATATATTCCATATATCATACATAATCTTTTCATTCTTTTATAGATATTATACAATCTATGTAATAAAGCACTTCGCTCATATATATATATTTATATGTCAACTATAGCTGGCTAAACGGCTGGACCAAATTGGCTGAAATTTGTTGAGGGAACCCATGGGGTTAACATAACCTAAGGGACATGAGAGTTGACACAAAAACTTTGTTCCAGATCTGTTCTGTAGATGAATAGATATATAGAAATATAGTAAATTAAAACTAAAGATGAATAGATAGATAGAAATATAGTAAAACTATAGATGAATAGATAGATAGAAATATAGTAAAACTATAGATGAATAGATAGATAGAAATAAAGTAAAACTATAGATGAATAGATAGTAAAACTTAAGATAAATAGATGGATAGAAATAAAATAAAACTATAGATAAATAGATGGATAGAAATTGAGCTTCTGTAGTCCCATTAAAATAAAATCTCCTCTTTTTGTGTAAAAACAAAATCTGTGTCTGATTGTTCGTGTAAAAACAAAATCGTTTAAAATCAGTTCAACTGAAAAAAAATATTTTGTAAAATATCTTTCCTCTCCTGAAAACATTCAGAATTGTGGATTTCAAAATCTATGCTTGATCTCCTCTCTTAGTTAATCTGCAGGTTAATACAATCTTTATCTTAATATCAAGGAAGGTGTATAAAATTCAACAAATAAGAGTGTCATTGGGAGAAACCAAACAGCCAATCAGAAGCCGGGAAAATCAAAAGTTTCCAGTGGATATTCAGATTAAGGGATCGGGATTAAGGGTATCCAATTCTTCAGTTTTCAGCGCTAAAGTCAGATATTAGCAAGAACTGGTTGCTAGGAAAGGATTTTCGACTACTCCCTGTTCACTGTACAGTGTACATTTTCTTAATTTGATCTGTCCACTGCAAACTATGCATGCGATATAATTGGCACGACTTTGTAACATCGTAGCTCTTCTAGTTTTGATTTTAGCGCGTAAGTAAGAGAAATTAAATTTATCTGGGTACATATTATAACTTCAAAACGTTTTGTTATTCTGAATAGATCTTCAATAAGAGGAGTGTTGATAGAAACCATAGAAGATTTCAATCTTACATGCAATTTACTCTAGTTGGCCGCAAGGTTATAATGCACGGAAAGTTAATTGCAGTTGCGTATACTCTGCGTACATATTGTAACCAGTTCTTTCTGGTCGGAATTTGTAAACAAGAAAGATGCATTAATGTTCGTTTAGTATCCGAGGACGTTTAAAGTATTGTATTTTGATAATTTACTTAATAGTTACCTATGACTGGAATATTTCATTGATTTTTGATGTGAAAGATGGATCCCATGTCAGGATTCGACATTCGTCGTGTTTACATTACTGCCCAGAGACAGTACAAAAGATGCGTACATCTCTCAAATAACTTTTCTTGAATTATAATCTTGGTTGGCCCTCTCCTAAATTACCCTAATATCTACAAAACTATTGATAATTGCTTCACGAAAAATATCAGAGAGATGTATCCAAAGATGGCAGTGCCCAATTCTCAATCCTTGTTTGAATCTATTAACGTTTATTTAAAGTTATTTCTTTTGAACCTCTTTCTTCAGTGCCAAGTCAATACCCACAAATAAAATATATGTTAAATACCATAAAATAAAAGAATTTCAAATATTTAAATTCTCCTCTTTCGTGGGTAACCCTGTAGATAAAGTTGAGTAGAACATCTACTTTATAGAAACCATTTTAAATTTTGAGAATTATTCTCCGTGAACAATTTATTCAATATTCCTATATTCTTGATAAATTTATACATTTATTCTACATTTTTAATATTGAAATATTCTACCATGAACTCAGCTCACATTTTAATCATTTTCAATATTCTTCTCATTTTTAAAAATATCTTAAAGGTTTATGTAATCCGTCAGGTACAATTCTCTCTAAATGTGAGAATTTTTCCCGGTTGCATCAATCTGTAAAGCACGTCTACAAAGAAGCCACCCTTAAAATTATCAATTCTAAGCTATTTCTACAAGGATACATCCTTCATCTTTGACTAGACAAAGGTTTGAAGAGTACCGTTGTGAATCCAACACGCCAGTTTGTTTTTAATGAAGGATTACCTGAACAAACGTTTTCAGTTCTGAGACCTGGACATTCAAATATATTCGAATTCGAATAAGTTTTTAATCGCTTCGTCATAATAATATTTCTCAATAAATCCATCAGAATTTTTCTACTAACACTCAGCTTTGATAAATGAACAATTTTTGGTTAATATAAAACTTATATTTGATCAATTTGCAACATATAATTAATAATAAATTATAATAGAATTATTTACACTTTAATTTGTATAAAACTTGTTTGATACAGATAAGCACATTCTGTACAATTTTTGGGTACAGTTGTACGGCTATGTACATATATAGCTAGCGTTTATTAAGCATGTACAGTGTACACATGAAAAAGCACGAGTGTACGCAGTATACAGTACAGTTACAGAGATTCCGTGAACTTTTTCAATTTTAGATAAAATCTTTAAGAAACTGTATTGCAGGATACAATTTCCCTTCCAGTATATAAATTGAAGGATACAATTACCCTTCCAGTATATATATTGAAGGATACAATTACCCTCCCAGTATATAAATTGAAGGATACAATTTCCCTTCCAGTATATATATAGAAGGATACAATTTCCCTTCCAGTATATATATTGAAAGATACAATTTCCCTTCCAGTATATATATTGAAGGATACAATTACCCATCAAAAATAAATATTGAAGGAAGTAATATTGATTACTTCTTAGAATTGGATTGTCCTAAAGAATCAAGAAAATGTCTGATGTTTTAAAATGGCATCACTTGAAAAATTTGGAATCACTTTATCAGATTATATTCTTTGTCTTGAATATTTTTCTCACTTCACTCTATTGACGTCCATTTGCCAATGATGAGGAATCAGGTTAGGCATTAATTTGCTGAATTTGTAGACTAGAGGCTTTTTAGATTAGGCCTGTCTTTTGTTTCTTTGACATTATTTTTCGAGTTTTTATTTCTAATTTTTCTTCTTCTTAGACCTTTTAAATTCAGATTCTGTTTTCACCCTAGTTAACAACCTTCATTCAATTTAAATTTTTTTTATTGGAAATTATTTAATAAATTTAATTGAACTGTTAATTTTTTCCCACTCCATAAAATGTAGACCAAAACTATGCTGTAAATAAGTTTTCAAATTAAAACAAATAAAAAAGGTTCAGTAGAATTTATTAGCTATGAAACAAATCTTAATTGAAGAAAATGAATTAGTATTAAATTGTAAAAATGAAAAACTCTTGACGTATGATAACGCTCGACATTTAAAATTCCAAGAATAAATTAATTACAATAAAATGAAGGTTTGCCTAAAATCTGAATGTAACCCTTTTTCGTCATACCTCTGATCCACCCTCTACTGTCTCATCCTAGATATATTGCAATTTTAGATAAATGTACCGTACCGTACCGTACCGTACCGTACCGTACCATTCGGTACACTTCCGGTACACTACCGAACGATTCTCTGTGCTATATCACCGCATATAAAGTATAACATTTTGTATAGAGTAGATTATGAATCGGTTAAAAATATACAAACTGTTCAAATTGGATCAAAAAGAAATCCGAATTCAGATATTTCAAAATTCTAAAAGGAAATCTATATATTGTAACTAAACTTTGGTCCCTACCATCATCCCTGCAAAATGCGGGCTCAATAAAGTTAAAACGAAATTATAAATTTAAACTTTTGAATTAGAACAGGAAACATAAAACATTGGATTTAAATTTTAATGTAAAACTAATTATTTTTGCAATGGATTTCTTAAACTTAAAATATGGATTAAAACAATCGTTTTATCATTAAATGGGACTGTTATGAGCTAAAAGATTCTTTATCTGAATTAATTTTGTTCAAAGGAATACAACTTCATAAAATTATTAATTGGGACAAGAAAATGGTATAATTTTCAGAGACTGTCAGAGAGAAAAAAAATGGAAAATCCTAAAAACGAACCTGAAACATTTCTCCGGAGCCGTTGATCTCTGGGACCGACTTTTTAGGCTTGGGCGGAGGAAGGGGCCGAGCTTTCGGTTTGGGAAGGGTTGGCGGCGGTAACCGCTTCGCCCCGGCGTGAGTCGGAGTTTCCGCCTCGTGTATTGTGTCCAGGGGGGCGGAAGGCGGAGAATCTGTTCCAATTTTTGGAGTAGAACACATCACAGGACTTGGCTAAACATTTGTTTAATGAAAATAAAATTCATTTGGAAGTCTAATTTAGAGAAAAATCAGATTATCCTTATCCAAATATTTGGTTTGTTTAAAAAAGTCCAAACCGACCGTGACAAATTTTTGGTTAACATGTTTCGCCAATAAGCTAGAAAAACTCATCAAAATTTTTATTTTGTAGCGCATTTATTTTAGTTCAATGGTATTTTTTTAAATAAGTCACAAGTATCAATAAAAACCTATATTTGAGTACGGCGGAAGACACACTTAAAGGGAATGTAAGCGTAAGTTCATGTGACCATCCATGCAAGGATGACATTGTCCTATGCACAACCGTATCCACATTGAAACCTTACCTTAATCTGATCAATCCGTTTTTTAACTATTACCATTGATATCTAATATATAATTGATCAGTCAAAGCCTGTCAGAATACCGTTTTTAATCTTGCATTGCCATCTTTGCAATGAGGGTCACTAGTTATAACGCTTACAGTCCCTTTATCTTTACATAAACGGACTGGATAAAGAAATATATAGACCAAGAACCGCCATATCTCATGCGTCAAATCTGTGCAGTGGGAGGAGATCAAAACAAAGAATTCAGGGGCAACGCATCCTTTTGAGAGAAAAGGGTTCCAAGGGGTGGAATAAGAATATATTGCTTTTGTATTTTCCATTTTGACCAGAAAGCCAAAAATCAGAAGTATTCGCTTAACTTAATATATTAGCTGTAGTCGTTTTCCTTTAAATTCTGTGGGGGCACTGAGTTTGTTTACATTCCTCCCGCAGTTACCGTACATAATAATAATATGCGTATCTCTGAGTTGGGCTAGATAAAAAACTGTCACAAACCTGTAAACATTTTTCTGTTTTATCTTGAAGAATTTCACTCTCATTGCTCGCTATGCTGTCTCTAGAAATACAAAAATAATTAATAAAATAAAAAAAAAATAATTTATTTTTGTCCAATTAATAGAAATAGAAGACTCTACATTATACAATCTACCTGTACCTAATATATGGATCATAGATAGCATCATGTACTAGAATTTTTAAATGAAATTGAGGATATAATCATTCGAACACAATACCAATGAAAACAATAAGAAATTCACTAAAAATTAGGGGGTTATACATTATACAATGCATCTAACACATTATCAGCTCTTACCTGTTTCCTGGGTTAGGTTTGATAGAAGCTCCCCAAGGTTCACAGTAAGCAGCTAGGTTCTCCTCAAGGAGCGTCTGCTGACTGCTCGTTATACCGCTCCTCTTATTCATCGGCTGCTGCTTCGGCTAAACAGTTAATTGTTATTCACGGCACACGTTTCCTGTTCGTTCAGAGGTTTAGGAATAATAACGAAGACGACATTCAAAAGTGTCGACAATTGTTTAGTTTATTGAACTAAATAAAGGAACCAAGTTTTTGCCGCTTACTCCAATTTTGTCTTCCATAAAACCCTTTAATAACCCAATATCGTATTTACACTATCAAGTTGGAAAGATTACTGATTATAAATTCGTGAGTTTGTGACAAATACTCAGTTCCTTTCTTAAAAGTTGAAACTAAAAATTTTAATCTCAATCATATAAAAAAATATGTATAATGTAATTGTTTCGGGCCAGCGCCTAACATCAAAACATATGTTTTTGTTTTCGGTAAATTATCAAATGTCATGCGTATTTTACGCTTACAAAGTTTGGATAACAATTAAATATCAGCTGACAGAAAAAGGATAAATATAGTTAGAGCGTAAGTTTTTTATTGTCAATTTTTAAGAGATATACTGAAGCTACTTGACTGAAAATAATGTTAAATTAGGATTTTCTCCCTTGGTCATCTATCTTTTAGAATTGGTTCTTCAAGATTTAAGAGGAATGAAAAGTAAAATAAATCAATGCAAGCTACAATTCATACAATCACAGGCAGCCGTAGTACATTTGAATTTCCGAGCCATGTCAACCGTTCCGGTTCCAGTTTTTACTGTACCTAGCTCTATGAACAGGACTAGCCGGTGCAACAAGGTTGACGCGGTCAGACTTTTTGCTTCATATAGGTTGAATTTACTTTTACTAAAGGGGCAGATTTGCGTGCAATGTTTGTAAATGAAAAGATTATCAGAATATATTCATTATTCATTTTGTCCATTCTCAACATGAAACACAAGACAAATGCATCTTAAGAGAAGTATTGTGACAAAAACCAGTCACCCCCCCCATGACCCCCTAAAATACCCCACCGTTTGGTCATCTGTGGGCATATTTTCAGTTTAAGA